GTAAGTACCTTGACCCTCAACATCACTGGCCTGAAAAGCACTTCTAAGAGGAAGAACAGTATTTATGACCACTTCAATCTTAGCTCTGTACTGAGAAGGCAGGTGGGTCACAGCACACTCTGCTTCTCTGTGACTCTCTTGAAAGTTGTCCAAGGTGTCATTAACAGGAACACCCTGTTTAACTGCTAACTTCTCAGTGAATCCACCCAAGTAATGTTAACAGCATGTAGTACCACACTTACAGTATGAGTTTACAGTAGTAACCAAAAACTCAGTACATAGATCAAAGGTAAATGCAGTACACTCTGCTGTACATTACAACAGTTGCACAAAACCATGAAAGTTAAAGCTATTATTGTGTTAAAATTCATTAATATAGGCCACAGCTAATATTAGTTTTAACATTTATAAGAAATACAAGACTCATATTTTAGTCCTTTGTTTTTGTGTATGTGATTTGTAAGGTGTGTTTCATGGTACAATAGGCCAGAAGTGGCCGCAGTACAAGGGACTTAGTCCCACCCCACTAGCAATAAAAAAAAGTGTTTTAACATGTTTATACTCCCTGAAGATGGTCTTGTAAGACTGAAACTTGCCAGGATTTTAACAACACGTAATCACCAAAAGGTAATAAACTACATGTACTTAGATGATAGGGCCACACCATAGCTCAAGCGGTTAGCTGCTGGTTTCAAACCGCGGTGGCCTGGCTTCAATCCCGGCTCTGGTCAAGTGGGATTTGTAGTGGACAAAGTGGCACTAGGGCAGTATTTCTCCAAGTACTTCGGTTTCTCCTGCCAATCTTCATTCCACCAATTGCTCCACAATCACCCTCACTTATCATCTGGGGCTGGTACAATAGGCCAGAAGTGGCCGCAGTACAAGGGACTTAGTCCCACCCCGCTAGTGCACCGTGCCGTTCGTCTTCTTCTCCTTCTGATTATTATTATGTTATTATTATTATTACGAAGAGGAAGGGCACAGCGCAATCGTTACTGGCCCTATTGTTGGTTCCCACGCTCCCCTAGATGGACATGGGGTATCCAAGCTAGGAGGACGAAGCTACACTCAGTTCGTTGGCTTAGATAAGAACAAATACAATTTTAATAAAAAAATATATATAACAATACATAAATAACAAACGACACATTTGACCAAGAAAACAAATACTAGACATATTAGGATGTTAAACCCTCAGGCTATATAAACACAAGTCTAATTCTGAAGAATACCAAACCAAATCTAATAACGCGCGTCACAAGCGTTCAAGCAATGGCTTGCAACCGCGGGCAGTCCTTACCAGCCAGCCAGATAGCACCAAAAGGGAATTTAGAACAAACCCAGCCGAAACCAATATTTTCCACAACAAACCTGCTGGCTAGTAACCAACCTTCCAAGTCAACTTGGTCTACACGACTGCACTGTACAAGTCTCCCCTTCACGAGAGGGTACATGGGACCACGTGACTGACGTCAGGATACTGCATAGTGGGGGATGGAATCCGTCAAGGGAAACATGATGACATCATATGTGAGCAAGCTAAACCTTAGAACGGCTCACTAGCAATAAAAAAATACTTAGATGATAACTTTTCATCTTATTTATTACATTTTACTGTTTTCTTTTGTAAAGGTTTAAATTGGAGGATGGTACAATGATATCAGTTGAGCAGTACTTTACCTGTGAGAAGATGGTAAGGCTTATGTATCCAAAACTTCCATGTCTTTGTGTTCACTCCCCGAATAGGGCCACACTCATCTATGTTCCGGTAGAAGTAAGTAAAGCATCATTATATCTCTTACAATGATATATGCAGTGTTGCCGAATCATTGACAGCGAGAAGTATTTGGCTGGTAAGTAACTATCTAACATTTATATCTTTATTTGTAGCCTCTTTACCTTGTTTTATAGGGAAAGCTGGGCATATGGTATCATGGTGTGCGTGCGTGCTTGTGTTACACAGCACATTTTAGCTGTCAGATCCTGCCATTTAGAGAAATCTAGTCTCCTTTGTTTTTCTTCAGACACACATTTTAAAGAAATTATACACATTAAAAGCTATTCTGCAAATGTTTCTACTCTAACTGCTGAAACAACCCCTGCCACTCATACTGAGCATACTAAGTGACATGCTGTATTCAAACACTTTTGTCATAAACTGTAAGCAAAATAGTTGGCACATATATTGTTGCACATTTAAGTCTACAAAAACTTAACAGTACTTGTCACCAGCTGAAGTGAAGCTTGGATGTGCCACTAATAACACGGGTGAAAATCAAACAGTCAAATCCTTTCCTGGTTTTGGCTCATTGTTTATGTTATTGAGACCAAGGTGACCAGCCAGTGTGATGTGATATTTCTCAGTTTTAACTCAGAAAATGTGATCTGGTGATGTTCAGAAAATTTAGCTGATATAAACTTTTACAGATTATTCTAAACCTGTCATAAGTCAGGGCGCTGCCCTCTGTACAGTCATCTGTAAGTAGACATATTTTCTCCTTTCAGAAAAATTTGTTGCCATTCATTTGTTTGACACATTTCATAATCCATTTCTTTCAATGAAAACATCATGGTTGAATGACCGACATTCTTGTTCTTAATCAAGTAGTCTAGGCCTCAGTTTCCTCGCACATCCTTCCAAACTCTTTCATTCACAGTTGTCTTCCAGTTTCCTGTTACATAGCCAGCATAATGGAGAAGTGATGGTTAAATAAGTGAACTGTGATAGAAGAAATAACCTCTCAATCAGAATTTCTACAGGTTTTAGATATTGTTTCAGAAGCAGTAGTAAACAGTGTTTCCAAAAGTTTTATACTAAAATTAAGATATTTCTTATGAAATTTATTGTAATATTTATTTTTTCAGTTTTGCCATATGATAAGGAAGAAAAAGAATGAACTACAGACTTCTAACATAAGTCCTGCTATGTCAAATGAAGGTCTGAAGAAGCAAAGAATTCAAGAAGCGGTATGTTTGAGTAATGTTTTTTTACATGTTTTGTGTCAGTGCTTCAGGATCTTGTTTCTGCGCTCATTTCCAGTCAAATGTGTCATTTGAACATAACCTAATCCTGGATGATTACAAAACCATGAATATTTCAAATTCAAAGGTGATTTTTGAAGATAAAATGAAGCTTTATTTGAAAAAAAAAAATAATGTATAATTCAATTCAGTAAGTGTTCAGAATGGCCACCTTTAATTTGGATGTGCAGTCTTGAGTCATTTGACTATGGAATGTGTAACCTTAGGTAGAATAAAAGAAGATAAATGTACAGTACAATTCAGTAAAGGTTCAAAATGGCCACCTTGGATTTGGATACACATTTGATCATGAAGCATGCAACCTTGTATAGAACATCAATTTCATCCATTTATCTTGCAGCAGCATTGCAGCGGGACATTTTTCATGTAACCCCATACATGAGAGTGCAGCTGAGTGCAGTTTGGTAACAGTAGTGATCAATCCTGTGGACCACCACAACCAATCTGTCAGGGAACTGATCATTCAGATACTAAATCGTTTTTCCACTGGAATGTGGGGGTGCTCGTCATGCTGGAAGTATGTCTGTAATTCTGTTTACAGATATCCTCTAAGGTGGCTAGCCATTTATTTAACATAGTAGGCATTGCTTTGATATTCTCGTAAGAAGTTGATCCAGTGAGGTGTTCACTAATGATACATAACATACATTTACAGAAATCCAGTGTTGAAAATTACTTACTGTTGTTCATTGTGGATTTCAGTGAGCCCAAAAATGGTGATTCAGTCATGTTTAAACTGCACCTCATCAGTGAATAAAATGTGGCATGAAACTAGTGGCAAAATTTCAACCCCCTACACTTCCCTTCAGGTTTAAGATCTTGAATTCAGTGTATATGATATGGATACAGTCCTTCAGTGTAATATTTTTCAGGCTGTCTTAACACAGACATGGTAGGCAGGTGCAAATGCTTCGAGTACTAACATGTGAGCTACACTGTGCCATTTGAATGTTTTCTTCAATGTTCACCTTTGCACACTGGAACTTCAGCAGACATCATCACACTGAAAAATGAACCACTTTCATGCAGTTTCTAATAAATACTAAATATATGTGGATATCATCACAGATATTCAACAGAAACGTTCATGTTGTCATTGCAGAAAATAACATAATGCATATCTGCATCTTCTTCATTTGAAAATGTAATTGACATGTTCACAGTTGCAATGAACTGACAGTTGGATGTAACACAAGTGCACCCTGACTGCACCCTATACTTGCTAGAGCACTTCTAATGAGCAGGTTTCTGTTCATCCCGTCCATGATGACTCTCACAGGAATGCATTCTGATGCCACATGCACATGCTGGTTCAGAACCTTTTAATGGATGTCCACACTCAGATCTTGTCATCTGGTTGAAAATCTTACTCCCATCATTATATATCTTGGCAGCCATTATCAACGAGCGTGAACATTACAAGTCAATTATAAAGTAATGCCACTTCATTCTTACCCACATATAAACAAGAGCCATTTGAGTCAGAAAAGAATTTCCCACACAATTCTTGATTGAAATCTAATTATTTTTCAGATAGAGGGCAGAATGAACTCTGACCATCTTCTTACAATGATGTTCTAATATACTGGGAAGAAGGAAACAAGTCTGCAAAGTAAGGAAGAGATGGAGCTCAATATCAGAATAGGTTTCTTGTACGTAATCCGACTGTAGGTGACAATGTTATCAACAAATTACTCAAAACCACAGGTTTGAAACAAGAGCATGTGAAGGCATGGTAGTTGGAGTTGCTTGTCACCAGGGTTGCTTTCTCCAACTTATGAAACATCTATTGATACTCATGTCAGCAACTGGAATATATTATTCCAGTAATTCAATAACTGCTGTCTGCTGATTTCCAGGGCTGGTATGGGCAGGGAAAAATGAAGAAGCATTACTTTCCTAATGACTTACCGATGAGACAGTATCTTCATCTTCCTCTCTGTAGCCCTCTGCCTGGCTGCTTCAGTCATCAACCTGTTTGTTCGCTTACACCACCAAGGAATGTAAATTCTTGTGAGACATCTCACAATACCATCTACTATTCGTTGGTAGTGAAGTGAACAACCAGTACACCTAATCCACTCAAAGTCAATGTTGCTCTTAATGGCAGCTGTGATATGCTGCTCCACTGAATTGAAGTGGGCCACCTCTGACATCACAGACTCCATTAGAGTTACAGCAGTACCAACAGCCTCCACAAGCTTCTCAGAAGGATAGGTCAGAGACTGTTCTGTATCACTGCACTCCTTGAAATATATGAAGACATTAGCCGACAGCAGCACTTCAGATGTCAGGCATGTTTTGCATGCATCACAGCTGACAACACGAAGCACCTGCATGGCAATGCAACCACTGACGTAAGCTACTGAGAGCACTTCAATGTCACCAGCAGGTACTGCAGGACTCATGTCCATCTGTACTTGCTGAGCAACATGGAAACTCTCAGGCAAAACAGCAGGGGTTTCCTTGCCATGACTTGTGAAGCAGCTTCAGGTTCCCTGAGCAACGAATGTAGGTTATCCAGAAGAGTAGCACCATCATCCTCACAATTAATCTCTCTGAGACCTTTAAAAGCAAGACCATTGATGATGCTAGTCTTCAGGGCATCTACAAACTGTCCCACAGTTGGGTTATTGTTCGAACCACAATTCAAATGAATAGCCCCAAATGTGTTCTCAAGGGGATCCTGATTCAGGTTTCGGGTGTGAAGGTACTCAAAACCCGCCTCTTTCAGCATCCTCCACACATGCTGGGCAGCAATGATGTCAATCAGCCACCCATTCTGTGAAGGAGGAGGTTGAAGAAAGGCAGGTTTACCATCCTTGAGAAAAATCCAACTCTTTATCCCCATACTTGCCCTTTTCCAGTGCTCTATATGGGGACTGTTATCACTGAGCGGGCAATGCAGCATTTTCCAAGGGTCAACACACATTCCACCATTGAAACTATCGAAGAGGTTGTCAACCTCCTCAACAAACACAGCTGTTGCCAGGTTTTCACTGAAGCACTCTCCTGAAAGAACATTAAAAAGGAAGTTAGTGAGCTTCCTTACATAATGGACTACCACAGTTCTTCAGATTGGAAAATGGCACACTTTGCTAAGGACTGCCATAAGAAAGAATTTGTGAATTTGATTACGTTATTCCTCACAGCAAAGACTTTGACACCTCTTTTCCTCATAAATCACATTACTGACAGTGCATTCTGCTTTTCAGATAATTTTAATTACCCTAAAATACCAGTATTGTGACATATTCCATGTAACCTGTATACTGATATACAGTTTTGTAATAAATGATGAAAATGATGTTTGTTTGAGAACTGGGTTCTGGGGATAATAATTTTGAAAACTAGAGGAACAACAATAACAAATCAAAACCTGATTCAGGAGGAAATTAAGAGGAGACTGAGCTCGGGCAATGCTTGCTACCATTCAGTCCAGAATCTTTTGTCTTCTCACCTGCTATTCAAAAACATAAAAATTAGAATATACAAAACTATAATTTTGCCTGTTCTTCTGTATGGGTGAGACACTTGGTTTCTAACATTAAGGGAGGAACATACACTGAGGGTGTTTGAGAACAGGGTGCTGAGGAGAATATTTGGGCCGAAGAGGGATGAAGTGACAGGAGGTTGGAGAAAACTGCATAATGAGGAGCTTCATAAATTGTATTCTTCTCCAAGTAAAATTAGAATGATTAAGTCAAGGATGGTGAGGTGGGCAGGGCATGTAGCATGAATGAGGGAGACGAGGAATGCATATAGGATATTGGTGGGAAAGCCAGAAGGAAGGAGACCACTGGGAAGACCAAGGCGTACATGGGTGGACAATATTAAAATGGATCTTAGAGAGATAAGATTGGGATGGATTGGATTGATCTGGCTCAGAATAGGGACCAGTGGAGGACTCTTGTGAACACGGTATGAACCTTCGGGTTCCATAAAATGGTGGAAAATTCTTGAGTAGCTGCAGATTTGGCTTCTCAAGAAGAGCTCAGCTCCATAAGTAAGTAAGTCCTCATTATTCTCATTAGCCACTTCTTTCATAAGAGAACATAGTTAATAGCATACAGTGCAGTGGTTCTTACCTGTAGCCACTAGAGCGTAGAGGCCTGATGCAACACTATGGCTCAAAACTTGAGCAGCCATGTTGACTTTCATGGCGCTGTGTGCAGTGGGGTTCAGGTGGGTGTCTGTCAGCTTGATCAACTGACGAAGCAGTCTGGGTTTGTCAGGTTCATGCAGTTTCAATATGGGGTCCCACTTAGCAACAGCAGGAAGTTTGTTGCCCATATGCTCAGACTTAAACTGCACGATACTTCCGGAATAGGTTTCGGGTGCACTTCAGGAGGTGGGGAGGATCATATACTGTTGCAATTTCTTGATTATGAAATCTGAAGTGGTTTCCTTTTGGAAGCACCCAACAATTTCAAGGCCTTGACATTGTTGGCCCCCATGCCACACACAGTGGCAACCACCTTCAGTCCAGCATTCTGACAGGCATCAAGAACCTCCTTCAAGTATTGCACAATCATCTCTGCATTAGTGCTTCCATGAGTAAAGTAGTAAGCTACTGGTTCCTTCCACGTAGCCCACGGATCATGAAAACTAGGGCATGATTTGCAATACTGTGTGTCCTGCCCTGGCTTCCACAATCCTCAAAACCCTCGATGCATTCAAATTTCTGGTTGAAATGCAAGTTCTCCCTGACTGACATTTCGTCAATTTCAGGTGTACCCTTTCAGCTGTAGTGAAATCACTTTCCAGGAAATATTTGCTGCACGACTATCTATTGTGTAGTCTTGTAGCAGAATCAATAGTGCGGGATATTCCAACTTTCCCTGCCCACACCGCAGCCCTGTAAAAGTAGAACAAATAGTCTCAAAACCTAGAAATAATTCTTCAGTAAACATTACAAACTTGGTACACATTCTAAAATTTTGGGTTATATTGAATAAACTGAACACAGACATACACTAAACTTAATTTATTCACTGGATTAAGCAACACATAACAAAGTAATTACACCTGAATTAAAAGAGACATACCGTGCTGGATCCCTCGGAAAACTGAAGAATCTCACGCCTTGCTTGCTGGATGACAAGCACCCAGCAGCAGCACAAGTTTTAGTTTTCATGTTTATACTGCATGAAGCAATACAAAAATTATAACACCATCACGGTACTCTTAGAACTCCTTCACATTCAACAGAAATCTGTGATACACCGAAAGTTGCAGAACATATCATAAAAAAATATAATTTAGATGACAGTTCATGATAACCTCAAAAATTTTAGGCCTGAAAGAATTATACGTTTCTACTGCCATTTGTGGTAGTAAGCATAATATTCATATACACAAATAATATGTTCAACATGGAGCTGTTATTTCGTTTGCAAATGTCTACTTTCATCTGGCACCCACATCAAATCAAAATTCATACTTACCAATTGATTACCGCATATAATTGTGGGTATTCAAATTGGCTTGTTTAGGCTCTGATTGGTCGAGACCTGTATGAAGTTTCGTCCATCATTCATAGAGTTCATAGAGGCAGTAGTTAGCGGTAGTTGGCATGTTTCCCTTTCCCCTATCTCAGTTGCACTCCCCTGACCCTGACGAAGGGCGGTCTCGCCGGCTGCGAACCAGCCCACTAGTTGCCGAAACCAATTTTGGACTCCCAGCCAAACAGGAATTTGACAAACACTCCGGCTGGCTCGGAGCCACGAGAAAGGCCCTCTGGATCCATTACTGGAACTATGCTCTGAACTCGAATTAACTTCCAACCAAGGCTCCCAGGGGCAGAAAGGAGGGGAGAGGGCAACACCACGTGAACCAGTCCCGCATGCGCAAACTGCACGATACTTCCGGAATAGGTTTCGGGTGCACTTCAGGAGGTGGGGAGGATCATATACTGTTGCAATTTCTTGATTATGAAATCTGAAGTGGTTTCCTTTTGGAAGCACCCAACAATTTCAAGGCCTTGACATTGTTGGCCCCCATGCCACACACAGTGGCAACCACCTTCAGTCCAGCATTCTGACAGGCATCAAGAACCTCCTTCAAGTATTGCACAATCATCTCTGCATTAGTGCTTCCATGAGTAAAGTAGTAAGCTACTGGTTCCTTCCACGTAGCCCACGGATCATGAAAACTAGGGCATGATTTGCAATACTGTGTGTCCTGCCCTGGCTTCCACAATCCTCAAAACCCTCGATGCATTCAAATTTCTGGTTGAAATGCAAGTTCTCCCTGACTGACATTTCGTCAATTTCAGGTGTACCCTTTCAGCTGTAGTGAAATCACTTTCCAGGAAATATTTGCTGCACGACTATCTATTGTGTAGTCTTGTAGCAGAATCAATAGTGCGGGATATTCCAACTTTCCCTGCCCACACCGCAGCCCTGTAAAAGTAGAACAAATAGTCTCAAAACCTAGAAATAATTCTTCAGTAAACATTACAAACTTGGTACACATTCTAAAATTTTGGGTTATATTGAATAAACTGAACACAGACATACACTAAACTTAATTTATTCACTGGATTAAGCAACACATAACAAAGTAATTACACCTGAATTAAAAGAGACATACCGTGCTGGATCCCT